TCACTTCCTGTGGCAAAGATCCCCCATCTTCTCCTTCAGACTTTTGACATAAAAATACCAATGCTGCTGAAGAGCTTTTTATGCGGGAAATAGCTTAGTGTCTATTTTTAGGAATAACATTGGATTTTGATGTCCTAAATTTGCACTGGACAGTGTTAAAAGCTGTTGTTTTTCTGTGCCTCCAGTTTGASAGGCAGCCAAAGCTTGCAGAAGCACTGAGCTTACCTGCAGCTTGCTAGAGCAAATGAAGCAGGGTGAGAGAGACAGCCAGCTACCTCCTRCTGCTCCTCCCTTTCCCAGGAATGWGGCACATGGATCATGGTGCAGTTGCTTGACAGGGAGCATGCCTGGAGCAGGATCCTTCCCAAGGTCAGCCAGCCTGGATAGGGAATTCAGTGTAATTTTCATCTTCCCATCTCTACCTCCATGGAGCAGAATATTCACCAGCTCCACATATCAGAAGAGGAAAAATAAAAACCCCAACCAAAACCAAAAAAAACCACAATCAGAACTAGCATACAAACTGAAAATAAAATTCCCTGTCCCATACTGAAACTTTACATCAAATGAAAACCTCTAAAGCCTTCATCTATCATCTRCTCAACTTCCTTCACTGAAAAGCTTCCTCCAGCTGCTGGTGAAGCAGCAGTCAGACCTGGAGCTTAAGCAGTAATGGCTACTGCACCAAATGKGGTTCCCAGCTCAACTCCCAGTCATGAAGGCAGCAATTACAAATACTTAATCTCAGTTTCTTTCACTTTTGCCACTTAAATGTGTATCAGAAAGTTCATTTGCAAATTGCTTTTAGAAACGAAACTAATAAGAAGTTCAGCAGTCCAGAAGAACAGTGAGGTGGAGGCTGTAGCCAAAAGTTCAGTGCAAACCTTACTAAAGGGTGATGACGGTGCCATCCTCACTCTTGTGATCACATGCCACTTTCATCCCCAGGACGCACGTATGCAGGGACAGGATAACTGTGTGCTACCCAACCCAATGGAAATCTGTCATTTTTCAAGCATTCTACTTCTCTGACCTCAATTGTATCTCTGTAATGTACTTCTGGCTACAGTAAGAAACCCCAATGAGGAAGTTCATCCCAAGAATGCACTCTCATTGAGTACATCACTGAGCTAATCCCTCCTCAGCAGGGAGACACAGAATAGACAATCCATGGGTCCCTCTGAGCTGCAACAACTAATCCATCGTACTGGTATAGTACAGGRTAGTATAAGTGGCTGTCTGATATTGCCAACAGCAGGCACTTTCCCGAGTCCTTAAGCTGCACTAATCCTGCACTGCACGGAAGGTGCAACAATCACTACAGAAYAGACCACAGACAATAAAAATGGGTAGAATGGGGAAAAAGATTGGCAAAACATCACCACATAACCACAGGGGCACTTTCTGCAGTCTGTGGGATGCAGAGTTCTCACCACCAAACTCAGAGCATCCCACCTTTTTGACTGTGCACGTGTGCAAAAATCTACCCCTGAAAAATAACCAATGTCCTCTTCCTTTGATACTCACCATGTAGCTGTGCCTAGAATATTTATTTTCAAACTCTTTCAAGGACAGAAGGTTGTTATCTCTAAAGACAGCTGAAAGCCATCAGGCAGTTCTTTGGCTAAGTAGCCTTGTATGAGCCATTGTGCTTTGACCCCTTCATAGAAAAGGGATGTCCCTACTCCACTGACTACATTTATTGTAACATCTGCCATTAGTCTGCAAACAACAGGCCTGCAGTCTATTGTAATCCAGTAAATTTACAGTTTCAAATACCTGTTAAATGTTTGCAACGTCAAATTAAATGCTTAGAAAGGGACGAAGGAAAATCCCATATCAAAACATCCCCAGGCCCTAGAGCCAAACAACGCTGGATCTTGATGTCAGGCAAGCACACAAATCTCTCATGGGCATCGTAAAAATACAAGATCTGAACACCCTTCTCTCTCCCACCTACCCCTTACATCTAGGAAATGCAAATTACTACCACAGCCTTTTGTTCTTTCTCCTRTTCTTACTTCTGTAACAAATGCAGGTTCCTGATAGTATTAAATGCTTCAGATAATGAGAACAAAAACAGAGCCYATGTTGAAGGACAAATACTTCCCAGCTGCCTTCATCCAAACATAACACAGAGCCTGCACCAAAGTTAGCCCTGGTTCCCACTCCTCTGTTTATCAGGGGACCTTAGATCCTCTACAATGCCCAAGTGATTTCCACTTTCCCTGAAACCACACCAGGCAAAAAGAAAAGGTGCAAGCTTTTATCTGGAATTTCTCCCACCATTGCTACTTCAGTGACTGGTTCAACGAAGACTTGAATTACACACACTCACACACACACTTTCACCTGCGTTTCTCCTCCATATCCTAACTCCCACTGCAGAGAGATTTCTGGCCATATCTTAGACAAGCACTAGGGTTTATTTATGCAGAACAAGTCAAATAGGAACAGAGCARTCTGTACCAAATGGTAGGTATTTCAGGTCCTTCAGAGAGAAATGCCACATTAAAGAGGCACAGACTGCTTAGTCACCTCCTTTTTAGAAGGAGGACCTGCAATACAAAGTTAAGCAAATCACACTTAGAATAGCATCAGATGGAAACAGATGCAGCATAGCAATGGAAGTGTCCTGTGAATGAGGTCTTCCTTCACATCACCTCTACCCAGAGTAGGATGTTCATCATTCCCAAACAACCTCTGCTTAGAYTTGGGGATGAGAGATTATGATAAAGTCACCAATATTCTGCCAGAAGGGCCTTTACCCAAGTGAAAAGGTAGCAGCAGCCTGGCAGCAGTTTTACTGGATCACAGAAATCCATGCAAGTAAGAGCAATACCATCAGTAAACAAAAGGCTGGAAAGTAAATGTGAGATTTCTCACCTCATACTTTCCTACACRTACCAGAAATTCTTACATGAGAGAAAGGTAGGGAAGGAACCACGAGCCCAGAAGGGCTCCACACTTGTAGAAACCAGGCTTGTCARCAGCTGTTGCACATCTTTGCCATATAACATGTAATGAGACTGACAAGAGCTCATTTTCTTTGGCCATATTTCAGATTTCCTGCAAGAAGAAAAAAGCTTGCACAGGAACATTATCMATCAGGTCATACTCCTCCTCACCACTCAAAGCAATCTTTTCAAATTGTTGGGCAATTTTAACTCCAGGTTATGRAGAGAGGGGCCTCAAAATTGCTCAGTTATTTTAAGTCCTGCAAAACCAGGATTGGAGWGCAATCCTTATCAGTGCCCCAAGCAAAATAAAAAGAGAGAAGCATTTCATCCTTGTCAGGCATCAAGAAGTCTGCAAAATCCTTGAGATCCACAGGAAAGAAAGCTTCCCTGTATTTTTAAAATTTACTGTTGTTCTAAGTGAAGGCAGGCCCCAGGAGGAAACAAAACTATTTGTTTTGCAGAATGTTACAACATCACAACTAATGTTTGTTTCCTAAAAGAGGGTTCATTGACCAGCTAGCCTCTTCCCACACCAGTGCCAGAACCTTCCCAGCCACCTCATCCTTGTACCTGGCAAATCCTGCCTCCTGAACTGCAGCTCCACCTGTTCCTTACCTGTTCATCCACTCATGACTTGCTGACTTTTTTTTTCCACAGCTCTGGCAGCAGTCTGCAGAGACAAGCTTGCCTTGTAAGAATAATGCAGTGGCAGTGACCACAGCCAACCCCAGAGCCCCAGGCAAGGGCATTTCTAACAGAGCCACAAGACACAGACTTTATTTCACAAGTTCTTTTAACATCCCTTTAGAGCATTAGCAAAATGCTTTACACTCCACAAACACAGCATCTGATCTTTTCCTCTTTCACAAAGCTGTGTTTTGCTGAAATAGTAGTTACAAATTTAAGGAAGTATTTTAGTTTTGAGTACACCCACAGGATGAGATCATAGCATGGGTGACATGAACTCTAATCCAGCTCATGCCAGGCAAATGTCACAGCACTGCTGCTGGCCCAAGTTGTAGCCTCAGAGCAGATTCTGAGTCTCCAGGAATGCACGGTGCAGTCTGTTATGCACTGCAATTTCCTTGCTACCTTCTTTACCTCAGGCACCACCACATGCCAAGCAAAAGATCATTGTAGTGGCACATTTTCCTGTGCCAGCCCTTGTTTGAGAATCCCAGGCTACTGCACTACTACAAAACTGCAGCAGATGCCAAACAGCAGTGTCTCCTCTGGCTCTTGCTGTGCTGTAACCAATGGCCTTGTTCCCTACAGATAACTTATCTGTGTTCACACACCAAGTGTCTCAAGGAGGAGCAGCCAAAATACAGGAGGCTAAACTCTCCCAGAGTCATTGAAGCAATACAGGAGGGAACAAACAGCATGTAAGCTCAAACAGCAAGCCAAGTCTACCGTTTTAAAGCTGCAGACTTGCTTAAGTGTCAGGGGCTTTGTAATGAATTCACATGTTTTTCCAATCAAAAGGTTTGTGAAAAGTAATTTTAACATCTCACACCAACATTCTACCAAAATCGTCTTAATGTAAGTTAGAATAAGTGCCTCAGTCTCCATCGAACCAACAGAACCATCCTCTCATCTCAGCTCTTCAGCTACAGCTTTAGAAGCTGACCAGCTCCTAGCAGGTTTCTGCCTAACATTTGAAGGCAAAAGTCACAAAAGTCCAGATATACAATACCCATTTCATTAATTCATGAGCTACTTCAGAAGCCAAATCCTCAAGTTCTTTTCAGAATGTGCATTTTTGCTTAGCTTGCTGTCTTTTCAAAGTCATGGAAAGACAATTGGCATCCAGACTTCCATTAAATGAGACATTTCCTGTTTTCTCTTTACCAGTACATTGAAGGTATTCAAGTGTCCAAGTGGTATGCATGAAGCTCTACCTGGCACATTCCAAAATCAACAGAACTCTCTTGCCACCTATACAGAGAGAGATGCTCGTCAACARCTTGTCACTGTGCTGCAGAAACTTAACACAAGCAATGAAAGATGGGTTATGTGATTTGGCTGACAGACTCTATGAAAATAACTCTAAAAGGACAGCAAACATCAGTTCAGGACAAAACATACTTTATTGTACTGTAATGTCAGAAGTACAAGAAAAGTACTGCAGAGAACCATGCTAATGGCGCTTCCAGGGTCTGTGAAGAACAAGAGTATAAGATAATGGGGTACTACTGTACTCAGTGCAAAAACTGATTCATTTGAGGCACAAGTACACTATTGTTTAAGCAGCTTGATTCAAGCACAGCTCTGGTATGTGATCTACTCTGTTTTCTTTCTGTGTGACATTTCTAGAACAAAGCTACCTTTACATGGAAGAGGCAGTAGATTCAAGTCAGGGGTGTCCAAATTGCCACTTGGCAACCAAAAAAAATTAAGAAAAATACTCTACATATTCACCGTCCACATCTTCAGTTTCAGAAATGGAACTGTGTCTAGAGAAGAAAAGTTATTCTGAAAGGTCAGAACCCAGATCTGTTTGGTTGGGTGGGGTTCCCCCCTTTTCTACATCTGTGGGTAACTTGCTTCACCTTGACCACAATTTATCCAATAAGAAAACAAACCACAACCAACTCATATCTTGGATAAGAAATCATACATATCTAACATTCAAATAAATTTCAGCCCTTGAGATCTTAACTTATGGCTTAAGACACAATGAAAGTGTTTGGGCACCCTTGAGTTAAGTTAATGAAGAGCATTTTTGCTAAAAAAGGCAAGCATGACCACTGTTTTAAACAGAGCTGACCTCTACTAGAACAAAGCAGGAATCCAAGTCATAGTTACTACTAGGCTGGCATGTACTGCTGCCCAGAAAGATAAAAATGTAACATCACAATGAAAAGGTTCAACAAAGTTGAAAGATAAAGATTTCAACACCAGAAGCAGCATTTGAAAACAAGCTGTTTACGTTAATCTTTTCAAGAGATGCAGATTGCATAACTCTAGGCATGAACAAACATGCTGGCAATCTTCTCCTTTTACACAGCAGCTGTGTTTAACATAGGAAGTTCTGGGTTTAAAGAAAGCTAAGAAGAAGAATTAAGATTTGCAATTCCCTAACTTAATGAGATTAGTAGAGAAACGAAAAAAAAACTACTACTGAAACAGTAGTTTCTCAGTGGATCCCTATCATTACAAACACAGCTGGATTTGTAAGCAATGCAAGACTAAACAGACAGCTATTACTTTATATTATTACTATGCTCATAAGTTACATCTGTTAAAGTTAAAAAAAGCCAAGCAGTTTTGCCCTATTTCAAGAATAGTTTCCAATCAACACCAGTTTACATGGTGAATGGGACTTCACAAATAAACAAGGAATGGTGACATCTTTGGGTCAAGAATGACGAGAAATAATGRGCTCTGTGCTACCAATCAACCTCAACAAGAATATGGCACATGGGCCAGCCCAAGCCGTACCAACACTGAACCTTTAGCACTCAGCACAATTTCGGATCTCTTTACTTTAGCTAGCAAACCAGGTGAAAAGGCTGGGTAAAAAATAACAACCAAAAACTAACTAAAAATTTAAGCCAAAAGTTGGAATATACTTTTAAAAAAACAATGGTAGTTTTAAAACAAATTGATGCTGACATCAGTTTGTGCAAACTAAAAAAAAAACCTCATTGAATTTCTCTCCAACCAAAGACAAATCCCGCAAATATTTTCCTTTTAGCACACTGTATCTGTAGATACAATCTCAAATCTAACAGATGTAAATGAAAGAGAGAAAAGGTTACAGCATCTGCACAACATTCTTTCTACAAACAGCTGCTGGAGGGAAAGTAAAATATAAAAGGAATAAAGAAAGGAAGATTCCATCTGAAATATTCTCACAATCTTTCCCACTTKGTAGTCCATGAATCCGACTCTGATGCTAAGGTGACAGTGTATGTGAGCAGATTTTTTTGTTGATTTTATTATATTTGAGTTTCAATTGAAGAGAACCTGAGAAGAGACTGGAGCCTCTTCAGGAATTGTCGGATGGAACATGCTCCTCGAAGCCTTCGCTCTCCCGGACCAAGGCTCTTTCCAGGATAACGCGGCCCTCCTTGTAGCGCTGGCTGTCTTCAGTGGCAAACTCATAGATCCAGCCCAGTTTGCTGTTGCAGTTCTTGCAGCTCACATCTCGAACCATGTGGCGGCCAGTGAGCATGACTCGGTCCTGAACTTCACTGTACTGCAGATTTACCACCTGGGACAAACACACAGGGCACAGGGACAGAAAAGATCAGTCTGCCTACAGAAAATGTGGTAAATGACTATCATCAAGTTAAAAGGAAAGAGCCTGTGGCATTGCACATGAACTAAAAACTGCAATGTAAAAACTCTACTTCTTGAGAAGGCAGTACCTTAAAGATGTGCTTCACAACCATGCAAGACCCTCATGTTTTAACTCAGAGAGACGTGAATTGCTATCACAAAACACGCAAAAGTACTGTGTTCAACTCTGGGTGAGAAGCTCACAGTGAACACCTCGTAAATTAATTTATCTTAATCCAGTTATGATGTATGTAACCCATTTCTAGCACCTGATGTGGTCACCAATTCCCAGAACTCAGAACCAAAACATTAAAAGGAGTACTTCTTCAAAAATCTTGTGATGCTTTTGAAATAATTATCTAAGAAAAAGCAGGGTCGGTGGCTGAGAATGCAGACATGAAAAATGCACCTTTTTGAGTGCTATATCAGCAGTTTAAAAYGTACTTTTAACTTCTTTTGCAGCACCACCACAAAAACAGGATGTRCAATTCATTGAAAAGTTGATGTCAGAACTATATSCAAACTGCTGATACGCAGATTCTAAGACATGCAACTGCACTGCTTTCTCAGCTTTCCACCTGACTGTTTCAGATTTAGAGCTTCTGACTGCAGAAATGATAAAAATCAAACTGCTGTGATTAAACCCCGCTACTTAATATAAAAAAAATTTGAACCCCAGGATTCAGTGCTTACTGGATGAGAAAAATCTCTCACTACTGACAAGATTCAGGATACCAGAAATCCTAGAGCAAAACATAGYTTTGCATGACTGATGGCTCTTATCAACTCTGCCCATGGCCAAATGGCTTACAAGAAAAAACAAAACTAAAATACACCAAGGATTATATGACCAGGAACCTTATGAGAAAGCAAAGGATAGTCACAATTTTTTCAATTARTCTAATGGACAAGTCTTTATGGAAGGTTACAAGAATCCTACAATTCACTCAAAAGTTGTAACTTCTGTATTTAAATCTATTCAATTTGATCAATTAAAAATTCTTACACTAAACCAGAGTATTACTGCTTATAAAAGAGATTGTGATTGATTGTGGCAACTGAAGTTGCCGGACTACTGTTAGCTTAAATTAATTCCAGAAATTAAACAGAATATTATCTAGACTTTTTTTAACTGTATAGAAGTGAACACCTTTGAAACCCTTGGACAGACACAAGATATTCTCACAGTGAATCTGAGGTTCATATTACAGAAGTCTCCAAAGTTAAAACTCTGGGCATTTTGGCCTAATGCCTCTATATAGTYTTCTTTAAAGTTTTTCAGTATTGCAGACAAAACTAATTTAGTTAAGTTTCCCATCAACAGTAAATGTCAAGTTTGACTTCAAAGACAGTTGAACAAAATAAAAATAGAAGTTAAAATAGTAATTATGCAACACTTTACCCAAGAAGTTTTTTCAACCTTGTGACAGATTCCAATCCCACAGACTCATTTATCAAAAGTWAATATCAGTTCCTCCAGCTTCTCACCAACCTTGTTAAAAAGAAAGGCCCTTCCTGTGGCCCCTGTAAAGCGGGTGGAGATGAGCTCTGAGCGGTTGGTCAGAATTGTGTCGCAGTTTGCACAGGAGAACAGGCGAGTGCCACCAATGTGGTCCAAAAAAATCCTTCCCATTTTTAGAACTTATGTAAGTTTATACTCAAGACCTGAAAGCAAAAAGAAACATTGTATACATGTAAAAAATGCATTACAGCAAAAAAATTTAAGCCCCCATACATCCCATATATATGGCAGAATATTCTTCAATTAATCTAAGGATTGCTCAAAGTCATTCCTTTGTCGGTGAATTACTAAACTCACAGTCTGCCCTCACCGTCTCAGCAAGTTCTTTCTTAAAGTGATCATTTTACCAATAAGATGATTTAGATACAAACTAATTACATTAAATTAGACAAATGCTCACTGAAACTTTAAAAACATAGTTCAGACCCTTGCAGATGCCTGCTGGCCCCTAGAGTTCTTAAACTCGACAGCTTCTTCTTCCTTTAACACAACACTGAAATTCCATCCCAGTACATTTCCAACAACTCACTCATCTTAGTCAGCATTAAGAAATGAAGCACTAAGACTTACACTGAGTCACCAAGACAATTATAGCTTAATTTTCCCAAGTCACCCCCACCTTTTATAATATATATTTATTATGTCACTTCCCCATAGCTTTGCACAATTTATGACACACAATCACACACCACCACCCAGAATGTTGGTATGGCAGCCTAGCTGCTGTATTTGAATTGACACTTCTCAGTTTCAAATACACACTAACAGGGGAAAGGTTTGGATGCTATTTCACATAATAAACAATCTACCCAGTCTTTACACCAGACAGTTTTATAYACAAATGCTTAAAGCTGTCTAATCCAAACAAAATTGTGTGTCATTTATCCAAGGTACTTCCRAAGCCTCATCATCAAAATACCTGAGCAACTCCAATGTGCAAAAAAACAAGGGCTCAGAGATTTTCTAGCAGATGACTTGCAGTGCCTGATAAATCAGCCTCTTCTCTGCTTAGGAAAATTAAAGTGTCTCACCAACTCCACATGAACTAACATAAATTACTCGAAGTTAACTAGTGAATAGGCACAGAACATATAGCTGAGAACTTAAATCACGAATCATGATATAACATGATAAAGGAATTGAATTATGATATTATTTCTCTTTCAACTGCATTAGTTTTATGACTAAACATCTATAGTTAAACAAGTTAAATGTACCCCCATTTATGCTTCAGATGTAGAATCAGAAAAATGTATTGTCTCTGCTTTTGTCATGCAGAGCAATGCAAAGTAACTCTGACAAACTGCAATATTAGAATTGTGTGGGTTTTACTTTTCAGAGCAGGAGACTGTTCATAGAGAAATCAATCAAATTCTGTGCTCATCTAACAGACTATTCTAAGTCAAATACCACTGAGAAGCACAAATACCTAATTTTAACTCATTTCAAGTTTTAGGGGATCAATTTCTTAAAGCATCCTCTTGACATGGACAAAGCAAATGGACTAAAACTGCACCTGCACACACTGAATTTAATGCACACYACTTTTACAATTTAAAAATCAGAAGTCACTGACATAATGATTTTTTTCCAATTGCTTTATTTCACACTTTGTTTTCTTACAATGTGCGGCAACAAAAAGGGTTCCTAATGTTGAACAGTGTGATTTTAACTCAGGTTCCTTACCTTTAGAGTTTTTATCATTGTTATTCTTCTGTATCCCATCTGAAGGATACATAAAAATTAAAAGCAATGTAATGACTCCTCCTTTTAAAGGTGATATAATACCCGTTTCTCTTCTTCAAAGGATAAATAAAACAGGTCTGAGTGTTAGTGTGACTCCACTCAAAATACAGAAAGCATTTTCATTAGATTTTTCAGAGTTTYATACCTTTCTAATATGCCTTAATCTTTCCCAGCAAGTAAAGGCAATAAGAAATTAAAACGTGAATAGTGACAGAATGAAGGAAAATCAACAGACAATAAGTGTGAATAAACAAGTATCAGTMAAAGGCTTCATCCAGAAGAAACCACAAATACAAACAGTTAAGGCAATCGTAACAGATATGCCCATAAGGCACTTGGCCTAGCTCCATGTGTCATCCTTACTAATTTTGGATGTTATATTTGTGCTGATTGTRTTGTGGATGCAAAACAATTAACTGATCAAAAGTTACAGTAAATGTGGAATCAGCATCCAAAGGGGTATTTCATTCAGAGTAAACACAATATTCACGCTGTATKTTTAGAAGCTAACACAAAATAAATCCAAACCCATCCCTATCTCACTAWGAGCAACACAAACCCTGAGCTTGGTGGCGAGAACAAACGCATTATACAGACTGACCCTGCAGAGTGTGACAATGCATCTAAACACTCAGAATGCAAGTACATCACCTGCCTGAGATCATAATTCATGTCAGGGCCCTCAGAAAAGCAGTAACCCAGAGACACTAAAAATTAAAATTRAATACTTCAGAAAGGAGCACAAGTGCAATTTTTACAAGCAAGTTAGAAGTCACAGCAACATAGAAATGCATTACTTCTGGATAYGGCATTATGGCATGGACAGAAGACTTGAGTCCCAAAGATATCAAACATTCAAATAAATGCATAAACAAATAGACTCAAAGATGTAAGGCTGAAAAATCTGCCTAGTAATGCAAGGCCTAAAATCCTCAATTATTTATGTCATCTTAAAGAGCTGAAAGTAACCTAAAGTTGCAGTAGACTCTAACAAACCAACTGGTACCAGAATACATTTTTTTCAGAATACAATGCATAAGGAAATGTATATTCTTGAAATAAATACATTTTAAAAATTTAGAAAATTATTTTTTCAGTACTGTAACAGTCAAAACAATGCAGATTTTGCCTAGGCTTTCTTTAAAAACTGCKAAAGTACTGTAACATTACCAGAGTGTCTAACTTTGAAAAAGTAACCTCTACACTTAACTACCACCTGTGAGACTTCAGTCAAAATACATAGCAGGCAGGCTACAACTACCTCAGTCCTCAGTTTTGATCATTGAATTCAGTGAATTTCTAAGGGTCCAGCTTTATAAAACCAGTCACCTTACATTAGTCTTTATGTTACTGCTCATAGTAGTAAAAAGTAGGAAAAATCTTACAAAATGACTGCTAGTAACACAGCCTTAAAAATCCACATTTGATCATGAATTTTCTAAAAAAGTTAATATGGAAATTCTGCTATTTCCTCTCCTGTAAAATACAGAAGCTAATTTCAACTTGGAATCATTTCACACTCTTCCATCCCTTTTTTCTCCCTCAAGCTAAAGAAACCACAGCATTCACTTAGAAGACCAAATCAGAAGGTACTTGCTCTGGATAAAAACTCTCCTCTCCTTAGATAAGGGTCCCAAATACTGTGGGGTATACTAGGTATACTTGCTGCACACAGGAAAAAAACATAAGCGCAACAGAACGAGGAAAAGCAATTTTCCATCTCAGGCTCCTGCCCCTTATGAACAGAAATGGTGGGTACAAAGTCACCGAACTTCACTGTGTATATTTTTATCCTATAGTTTTACTACCAATTGAAAAGGTGCAGGYGTCTATTTATGTTCATACATGCATAAATGATCTGAAAAAACCACTTATAAGCTGTTACCAAAGGCAGTGGGAGGGCTCTCTCAAATGAGGAGAAGCCAAAGWATTGTGAAACAAAAGCATTTCTAAAGCTTAAGATCCTCCAAACAGGGGGAGGAAAATGCAATAAGTGCACTTAGCCATTCATGCACTATCTACACGTAAAAGCATGGAAAAACAACTTCCACTGGTTCAGAGCCAGYCGGGTTCCCTGGTGCTACTCATAGCTCTGGAAATGACACTGCTATATCAAACCAATTCCATCATGCTACCAGCAGCATTTTCAGAAGCAATGGACAGGGATTTGGTTATTCACAAAACCAGATACTGAGGAAAGAACAGGTTTTTTTGGCCTTAGGTGATTTTAATTTTTAAAATCAACTAAGTATTCTTCACAGGGTATGTATCAGCGATGAAGTCCTAGTGCTCCTGCCTTCATGCAAATTACCAAACACAAGTCATAATAAGAAACKAATGGCTGCAATATAAGAAAGCCAGACTTAGATAGTATCTATTGCTTGTCAAATCTCCACAGTTCCAAGAGGGGTGCTTTTACCAACTGGAGATGATGACACTGCCATTRTTCAGCACCCAGGCCACCTTCCTGAGAAGACCTATAGGAGAGCAAACAATGATAGCTCGTATTACCCAGCCTGTCAGGCTTGCTGACAGTGCATGATTTTGACAGTACATTATTCTGACAGCACAAACATTGACACCACTTCTTAATCATACTGTGAAAGACTTCTTCCCTGTAAACTTCTCCCAGTGAGTGCATGGACAGACAGGAAACACAGGCACTGCGGCTGAGTGCTATTATGTGTATTCCCAGAGCAGCAGATCCCAAACTTACCAAACACTTTCAGTGTTGACTTCAGCAACACCGAGCAACAACCATCAAAGGGCTGACATTCAACAGYTTAAATGTGACCACTATCTGCACAGACCTGAAACCACCTGAAGCACTACTCGGTTGGTATTTGTACTGCCTCATTTGCCTACCTTCACAAGCACTAAAGAAGAAAAGGAACACAAAGAATTATTTATTAACATTTTTAAAACTAACAGTCAGTGTTTCCTCGTCCTGGAATGCATCTCTTCAAGACACAGGATCATCAACACTTGGCAGAGCCAGCAGGCATTTTCTCTATACACACTGGACTGTGGATATTTCACAGGACGAGCCTCAGTGTTGTTTCAGCACCATCTACTGCATTTCACATCTACAACAGAGAACAGCTGCTAGTTAAAGGATAAAAAACTGTGACAGCCTCTCACCATTTTACCAACTAAAACTATTCTTTTTGTGAGCAAATAAGCACTCTCTACTCTTTGAAAAAGGGTCATGCATTCCCCTAAGCACACTGAAACATTCTCAAGATGTACTTACCCTGGAACCAGGCTGAAAGTTCACCATTGCATCTCATGAACTGGGCTTAAGCTTCCTCTTCTCATCTCAAGAGACAGACAAAAGAGGAAAGAGAATTCTTAGTACAGCTGCACAAGATGACACATTAAAGAATCACCAGRTAAGCAAAAAATAAAACTTGCTCCTTACCTTTCAAGGTTTCTGCTGCTCACAAGCGAGGGTGCATCCAAAAATACACACGTGGTCAGTCTCTTAGGAGGTCTGAGATTCAATGTCTGCCACCAACTTCTGCGGCTGTCCAAGTAAACAGGGCCTGGACTCTGCCTACATGCAGAATTGAAACCACCAAATGTAGCCAAATGTGGAGAGAAAACTGAACTGGAACAGCATGCTGTTGCCATCCATATACTGTAGCCAACTGTAAAAGGAACTTAATACAGTCCGATGACAGAAGAGGCTTTGGCAAAGAAACCAAAGCTGTGCCCAAATGCAGGGCTTGCAGGATGGAAAAACCCTTGTGCAATTTGCAGTAGTGTAATTCTGTATTGCAAGTTGCAGTAGTCTCATTTTCTATGGTAAAGTGGCRTTTTTCCTAGGTAAGGTGAGCCCTGAGATACCAGCATTTAAATGTGTTACCATCGTATTGGCACACCCAAAGACTAATTCAGGGTAGTTTGTTACACGTTTTCAGAGAGCAGAGACACACAGACGGGTGTTTGTTTCTCATACAGCCCCTCCTATCTCAGCATCTCCCACAGAGTAATTTAAACCSTCACAATACTCTTGCTAGATAACATATAAAAGTATTAGTTTACAAATGGTACCAAACTCAGATTAATTTTCTTTGCCACCACTACACAGAGTCCATAACCAGCAACTACATTGTTTCCCTGCTYCYTTTTCCCTTCCTTTTCTTCCTGCCCCCTTGCTAATCCCTCCACTGTTTTTAAAAAGGCTGTATTTCCCTGTTCTGTAATAWATTTATTCCTATACTACTTAAGCAGTTGAGACAATTTCATCTATTAATTCATTCTTCAACTTTCTGAAAGCTAAACTACMCATTTTCTGTTTTCATTATAGTGGTGAAATGATAGCAAACTTCACCCAAAGACATCAGTGATTTCATGAGTCATTAAAAACAAAATCCAGTAAACAACCTTTCAAGAAATGGTGTTAAGACAACTATCATCCAAACCTCCAAACCAGCTACATCCAGCTGGCAGAAAGAGTGCTCAYACACTAAATGCACATCACGAAGAAATTTTCCTATTAACTAGAAAGGTCCTAAATGTAGGTAAAACCTCCAAAATTAGAGATCACCTTGCTAACAAACATCCACAGTGTACAGGCATTTYAACTACACATTTAACAAGTAATTTCTAAGTTAAATCTTGCTTAAGGGAATTACGTATATCAGTTAGAGCTGAGCAACTCTAGATTTCAACACAGGTCAAATGTCAGTAAACAAATGTGAACCWATGACCTGACTCGGACAATATCCCTTCAAGCTTGTGATGATTACCATGTTAAAYACACTTTTATAAATATGTGTACAGCTCTCAGCCTATGACAACAAATGAAGCCTGTTTTTGTCATCTTCTCTACTGGGCTTTGAGATGCAATTTCGTTTGTCCTCACAMGCTTGGCAACCACAGCCGAAACTCACTCATCATTATTAAAATCTATATACAAACAATAAGCTCTGCATCTCCAAGTATTTCCAGAACTACGGAAGTGAAAGTAGCAGATGACAGAAGGCTCCAAATAGTATATCTAAAGACTATATTAGAAAAACAGAGCAGCACTAAAAAACTGACAGTTTTGTTTGTCACACACACACTTGAATTCAGCCATCCAGAAAGAGGCTCTATATARAAATATATATGTGACTATATATAGCAGTAACATACAGTCACGTGAGGGAATGTTTACAAGTACAGAGCAAGTTCCCTCCCTTTCAGCCATCAGTCATAAACATTAGTTAAGCTAATGGTTAATCTAGGGCCATTAGTTGCTGACATCAAGACTTGTTCTCTGATACCACCTTCGAAAGAGCCCTGCCCTGTCTCTCACGTAAGACCGTGTGTACTTGCTTTGTTATTCCCTCAATCTAACCCTAAGCCCGTGTTTATTGTTTAAAGAAACTGAAGACGATTAATTTATTAAATTCTACAGCTGCACCAGTCGAAAACACGACCTTTATTCTTAAATAAACAMGCTGGATTAATCTTATCTGCATCTGCTTGCACAGTACAGCTGAGGGCTGTGAACAGAGTAACAATGAATCAGACAGACAACCGTCTTCGCATTCCTTCAGGCTTTGACTTAGAACCTTTCCCAGAGCGAGAAGGCGCCGGCAGAATATTTCAGCTCCCTGGGAATCCATACTTCCACGGGGAAAACCCCAACCTAAGCGCTGGCAGGCGAACGTGCCTTGCTGCGGAGCGAGCCGCGAGCACCTCACAAAGCAAACAAGCGCGGCGGCTGGATTTGTGACAGCTCCCCGCGGGAGGCACCTGTCCGCCGGGGACACGGGGCCGCTCCGCCGGCCGGCGCTCAGCAAGCAGCACCTTCGCACGGCCAGGGGGGCGACGCGTCAGGCGGCACTGCCAGCCCCCGTGCGACCGGCCAGGGCGGCTCAACGCCCGCGGAACCTCCTCGGCCCCAGCCGGGCCCCGGGGCGGCGCTGCGGGGGCTGTCGGTGCCGATCCCGGGTGTCGGTGCCGATCCCGGGTGTCGGTGCCGAGCCCGGTGCCGGTGCCGGTCCCGGGTGTCGGTGCCGATCCCGGGTGCCGGTGCCGATCCCGGGTGTCGGTGCCGATCCCGGGTGTCGGTGCCGAGCCCGGGTGTCGGTGCCGAGCCCGGTGCCGGTGCCGCGCACACACAAAGCCGCGCGCGAGCGGGGGCGATCCCCGGCCCGGCCCGGCCCGCGCGCCGTCACGGGGGCGCGCGCAGCCAACCGGGGCCGGCCCGGCCCATCCGCCCCCCCATCGGCGCCGCCGCCGGGCGCTGCCGGGAGCGCAGGAGCCCTGACAACAAACAGCAGGAAACAGCTGACGGGGAGGCACCGCCGCCGCCTCCGCCGCACCGAGGGGCCGTGCCCGGGCCCACCGCCGCACCCCCTCCCCGAGCCGCCCCCGCTCTCGCACCGGGCCTGGACACGGCCCCGAGCCTACCGGTTCGGGGCGCCGCACATGAACCGGCCCGAAAAGTTGCCCAGTGCGGGGCCGGGGGAGGAAGTTGTGTCGGCGGCGGCGGCGGGGAGGGGGTGCTCGGTGCCGGCCCCCGCCGGGAAGGCTAGGCGGCGCTGCGGTAGCTGTGTCGGCGGCGGCGGCGGGGAGGGGGTGCTCGGTGCCGGCCCCCGCCGGGAAGGCTAGGCGGCGCTGGGAGACGCTGAGGAGGAGGCGACGCGGTGGGGGAAGGCCGGTGCTTTGTCGCGGCGCCGGGCAACGCACCGGCTCAGGCAGGGCCGGCCGCTGCCCCTCTCCGCGACCGCCGCCGGACCGGACCGGAGCGGCTCGCCCGGGGCTTCGCCGCGGCCCGACAGACACAGCGCCGCGGCGCGGAGCGGCGGCCGCCACCTCCCTCCCCAGCCGCCCCGGCGTCCCCGGGTAGCGCGGGGCGGACGCGGCCCCCGCCCGGTTACCTGGCGCCGGGGAGGTGCAGCGGTGGTGGCGGTTCCGTGCCCGGTGTCTCCCCCGCCCTCCACGGCCCCGGAGCTCCGGATCGGCCGCACGACTCCGCCCCTCCGTGGCCCAGCCCCGCGACCTGTCAATCAGCGCAGCGGGGCCCCGCCCCCTCGCCGCTGCGGAGGCTCCGCCCACACCGCCTCACGCCCCGCCCCGCCCCGGGTCGCCTCACGGCCGCGTCCGCCGGGGCACGCCGGGTCATGGAAACGCAGAATTGTGGAATCACAGAATTATACCGTTATAAGCTCACAGAATCATCGAATCATTGAATCATAAAGGCGGGAAGAGGCCTTTAAGATTATCCAGTCCGATCGTCTACCCATCACTACCACGGTAACCTGTWAATCACTAAAGCACACCACGCAACGCMAGGTCCAGGAGCCTCTTGAACASTTTCAGGGATGGTGACCACCAGCTCCCTGGTCAACCTATTCCAATGCCTCACCCCTAACAATAAAAATTCTTTTCTGTCTAATCTGAATATTGCCTGTCTCAGCGTAAGGCCGTTTCCTCTGGTCCTGTCACTCCAGACGCGTCAGAAGAGACCAGTCCCCACCTCACTACAGCCTTCTCACAGGTAATTGTGGAGAGCAGTGGGCTCTCCTCCAGGCTGAATAACCCCAGCTCCCTCAGCCATTCCTCACAAGATGTGTTTTCTGGACCCYTCATGAGCCTTGTTGCCCTTGGTGGACATACTCCAGCACCTCAATGTCCTTTTTAAGTGAGAGRCTCAGAACTGAGCACAGTACTCACATCAATGCCAAGGACAAGGGGTCAGGACAGTGGTCAGTGCTGCAGCCCAGGTGTTGGGGGTCCAGGGGTGGGACCAGAGCTGGAGATGGAGCTGGGCCTGGAGTCAATGTTGGAGTCAAAGCTGGAGCTTTATGGCAGCACTCAGCCTTTCCCGGCCTGCCAAGTACCATTTCCCAGGCACTTGTCAGCTGTTGCCTTGAGCTTATGCCCTCCATTCCCCCATCTGCCTCTACCAATCTCCAGACTTGTTTGTCTCCCTCACAGCCCTGGTAGAGACACCCACTCCTGGGGGAGCAAAATGCCAGAGCCAGACCTCCCTGCASTCCTAGAGCACATTGCCATAGACATGGCTGGGAAGAAGGGGAGTCCCATCTCCAGGCACCTGCATTCCTGGGGATTTGGCCTGCCCTGGCTGTGAGCTTCACCACACTATGACGCCTTGTGAGGATTGGAGGTGTAGAGAGAGCCAGAGATGACTTTTGGCCACATCCCCACATCAGTGAAGTTGTAACTCATGCTGCTTGCAGAATTTCAGGCCATTGAAGTTGAAATCTTTGCAGGATACCTTAAACACTGCCCCCTGTAGAGAKGAAAGATCAGATGAAAATAAGGCAGTGTGACCCTTCTTGGCCATTGGTTGCAAGAGCTATCAGTTCCCCCCTGCCTGTTTTAGGTGCTCACAGATTGCCTTCTTGGCAAAYAGGGGTCTTTGACAAAATAAAATGAAAAAAAAAAATCCTTTTGACTTGTTGGTTATGAAAAAGAGATGCAAAAAGATGTTGTTTTCCTTCTATGGGGTAAGGCATACCATTTTAGGGATTTCTGTTTTAAAGCAAGAATTTTCATTCCTGGATCTATCCATGTAGCATCATCAGAGGAGCTGCAGTAAGGGCAGGAAGGAATGAGTCAGCAGGACTCTCCTGGCGTTTCACAGAGGCAAAGGGCCAGTCATCTCTGAATGTACAGCACAGAGGACCTGCTTACATACCCAGCCTGTGTCTTTTGCACGGATTCTTTTATGAAAAGAAATGTCTGGGTAGAAGGATACACAACAGCCTGCAAGAGAGTAGACAGTGTCTTAAGAACTGCTGTTTGCTTTGGGCAGACCCCCAGAAAATCAGATCTCTTCAGTGTGGTCAGCTCTGGCCTGATCATGAGCAGAGCTGAGCATTGACATTTCTCACTGGCCTGTCATCAGCTTCTCTCTAGATCACGCAAGGGGAATGAAAGGTGTCRGAGCAGTCCATCAGACAGCAATCACTGCTTAGTTAATGGCACAGGGACACCAGAAGTACTGAGAATATTAGAAGAAAACCATAAAGGCTGTGCCTGGGGTCCCATTTACCACCAGCAAATGGAGAAAATAACTGGTCTAACATGTGCTGTTTGTTAACAGGCTGACCCTRTTTTTCAACAGGCTGTGCCTCACTGGGTATCCATGAGTTGTGTCCCTGGTGGATCTGCTCCATCTCATCACAGGAGCTATGCAAAGGTCCATGTCTTACTTATCTCTGCACAGCTCCCATGGAGATCACCATAAACAAAGCCAAATCAGAACAGAAAGAGAGTCAAAGCAGTGGTGCTTTAGTTAGCACTGGCAACTGGRTCTTATCTGGGGCCCTGTGAGCTTACTGCTCAGCTCTACAGGTGAGGCATCTGCACACCTTGGAGCAAGCTGGTTCTTCCTGTCTCATTTTCCCTCTGTGAAAATGGGGGAGCAATGCTCCCTGCCTTACTCGGAGGTTGCAGGTTTGTTTAAGTACCATTCTTCAGTTTGGGCATATGGAGGGGCTGGATGTCTGAATACTGCAATCATCCTAATAATATTAGCATGAAAACAAAGCAAAGCCCAAACCYATGAATAAATTAAATTCTCAGTAATAAGACGGGTAGCTATACCAATCAGAGAGAAACCAAATTGACCATGAGACAAGCAGAGAATGGATTAGCCTGTGCTTGACAGATGGTGCTAGGGACTGATGTTTTTATTTCCCTCGCAGAGCAGTTTAGAGGAAGGGGGGTAGGGGAGGGTGAGGTAGGGCACATTTAATAGAACAAAGCAGCAGGCTGTAGCAGGTCTGCTGAAAAACACTAAAAATACCAAAAGCAATTTCCAATTAGCTTGTAAGGGACACGCTACGTATCAGCTACAGGGTGAAAAAGGATCGGCAGTATTGTACCACATGGCACTTTTAATTTTCAAAGCAGCCTGAAAACATTAATTAATTCTACTCTGACAAGGAAATGCAGTGCAGTCAGCAGTTTGTTCCTTTATTTCTTATGCCAGGTTTTGGGAAGACCCTGGGCCTTTTCCAAAYGGATTCATATCACAATAGCTCAGATTACTCTGGAGGAGCCAGTCCCCTCTGCAGCATTACTGAGCAGAAAAGGCTGTTTTAGATCTGGAACTTAATGAACCAGAGAAAGGGGAGATGCCCACACCCAACAGCCTTAGTAAGACCCACATTTAGTATTTGCCCCATCTAAAGCCATTTTTCACTGCTGTGGGCAACTCTGTAGTTGCAACTGTATAGTTCAGAGAGAATTGGGTAACTGAGGAATGTCAGACAGAACTGTGTAGTGAAACTCAAACACCAACAYATTGATCTAATYAAAACCTGTGACAAAACTTCAGTGGAACTCGGAGGGATCTGGTACTCCCCACTGAATTATTGTTAGGGTTTGGGGGCTGCTTGTGCACATCTTATCTCTTTAAAAAGAAAATGTTACATTCAGTGGTTTTTGGTCCTGCTCCATCTCCAGAACCACTAATAATTTTTTTGGTACACTTGTGGATTCCTGTGTGGCAAAGTTAAACCTACCAAACCAGGCATGCCTGAAGTGAGATAATGATCCCTTGGGATTTTCCATTGCTGTTTCTTCCATGCCCAGGAATTCTGGCAGCAGAGAGGAGGCAGCTGAAATACAGAGCCAGGCTTACAGGCTGTGATCTCTCCGGGAGACAGTGTGACTCCTCTCTGCCCCCTCTGTGCCTTCTCAGCTTTGCCTTGCATCAAAGGCTGGGTTCATCCCAGGAGCTGCTCTTGTTATTTGGCAGTGGCTACTGATAGCCTGTGTTTTTCAGAGGAGATGGTACAGCCTGCAGCTTCATTCTCATAGGGTAAGCCTACTGACACACACAAAAATGTAATTGCCTTTCATTTGATATCACAAGCAGACAGTTACTGCTTTTGGCTCACCTGAAAGCTGACACAGGCACAAGTGCTACTTACAGAGACTTTTTCAGATGGCTATGTTTTTGCCAGGGAAAATTATTTGTACAGTTAATCTCAGAATCAAAAGATTAGGAGGCTATGATGAAGCAGTCCCTCCATACCCTCTCCCTAATGACAGAGCTGGTCTCAGTACCCTGCCACCATACCTAGGAGCTGCTGACCAGATTTTAAAAGGTGTTTAAGTGTCAAACCCCAAAAGACCTAGAAGCCAAATCAGAGAAAGTACTTAATGTACAAAGAAGGAYTTTGAATTTCCGTGCCATTATTAAGACATCAGGAATGGAGCCAGTAAGCAGGCCTGATGCCAGGGAATGCAGAATGCTCTCCTGCAGAAACAAGGAGTCATTGCTGGGCACAGGGCAGTTCAGGGAAACTGGTAGATGGACACAGATCCCCTTGAAGCCAGGCACTATTGCAGCGAACCTCACTGCCATTCCCTAGCAAAGAAAGCAAGGTTGCTAAGTAGGATGGGTGGTGATACAAACATATCACAGAGGGGCAAGGATCTTGTAGGGTTTTTTCATTGCTAAGCCTTCTGCTTTTGGTCCTCCATGGTGGACAACAGTTACTGAAATAAGGAGAACTTTCAAGYTTTAGTCTGTAAATCCTGTCTTGCAAATCCTGTC